ACAAGAGGCAATGATACAAATTGCAGGGAGAAAAATCCTTTTTAGCTACAAGGGAAAAAAATTCTTGGGAAAGTGGTCATTGCACTGGGGCTCAGAGAGGTTCTGAAATCTCCAGTCCTGGAGATAATCAGGCTCAAATGTGGCTCAAATAAAAAATATCATGAGACACGTGATCTAATTGGCCCTGTTTTGAGAGGGAACTGAAAAATGAAATGAAAATCTGGTATTCCTAAAAAAGATATGCAAAGTTAACAGAATGCCTTTGCAACTTTAGAATAACCCTCTGTTGCAGAAGCATTGTTTCAGCCCTGACCATTACTAAGGAAGGAACCTGCGCAACAGGCTGCAGACCTGAGCCTCTTGCATCTTCAGCCCTAAGAGAACATTTTTGCCATTTCATATTGCCCCTGAATTGCCTTTTTAGGGCAGTTAACAAATACCCATTTCAGAAACATAGTTTGTGGCTGTGTTCCTAATGAGTGTAGTACAAAAAATAAAGCTTGATAATGGAGTCTCTGGATACTCCCAAAAGAGTGTTTGAAAAGAGGTTGCAGAAAAGTCCATAATTTGTTTCTGAAAACTGTAGTAAGTCACTTACTCATCTGGAATAATGCAAGTACATACTATAATGTTAACTGCGAATAAAGGTTATTGTATGATGAAACTGGAATTTTCTTATGTAATGTATTTTTTTTCACTTGTTTTTGTGACTGTATACACTCACATGTATAATAATCTTCAAAAGCAAAGAGATGCCTCAAGGATCACTGCTGATGCTTCAATAATTTGCTGCTGAATTCAATTCCACCACCCCTGATTTTTGTCAAGCAATTTCCAGAGTGACTGTACTTGGCAATGATTTATGCATGAGCTCTCTGGGTGTAACATCTACCAGACTTCAGTACAATCAACCCTGCAGTTCATGTTTGGCCATTAAGTTAATTTCTCTGCTCTCAAAAAATGAATTCCCAAATGTGTACTGTAAGCATTTTCTCATGGATGTATTATTTCTGTCCTGATGTTTCTTACCAAAAATAGAAAAACTGAGCAGCTGAAGGCTCAGCCAGTTGTTTTCTATCTTCATGGTCTGAGGAAAGAGTATGCTTGCGTTTACATATGCTTCTCCTAGCACTTATTATCTAGTTTTCCATAAGCATCCATGAACCAACGTGTATTATTTTTCTATTCCTATGAAAGGGACTAAGAGTATCCTTGGAGTATGTCTTCCATGACCCTGTAGATACTCTTCAGTGAAAGAATATGTAAGGGCAGGAAGGGAATCAATCATGTTTTTTCTCAAAGCTTTGCAGTGTCCTTAGAAACCGGCAGAATTTTCCCACTTTTAGTGTAGGATGCATTTTTAAAGAGTCTAGATAAGTAGCAGCATTAGCAGAATAGCAAAGTGCAGGGCAGGAGTTCAGGGTGCTTTTCTAGGGAGAAGCAGGATGAAGGAAGGAGAGGAGCCCGAGGTGTTCACATTAGGTGTATCATGTCCAGCAGTAAGTCCTTTTAGCATGAGATCAGAACACTAAAATTTCCTAAAGCACACTAACAACATTGAGAAACCACTACTCCAGGTCAGAATGTCATAAGACAAATCCCAGAAAAGAAATGAAAGTATCCACCATTGGGTAAAACTACAGAAAATGAACTTCTTAAAAAAAAAAAAAAAAAAAAAAAAGAGAAATCATGTTGTTGTGCTGTATTAGCCAGTAGAAAAGCACACCAGGAGTTGGGGGTGGGGTAATTTTTTTTCCTAAACATTTTTTGGGTTCAGAGGAGAACTGACAACATTTTCACATGTATAATGACAAGAAACCATCCATAAATAAGTCTGTCATTCAGTATCAGAGTGAATTATAGGAATAACCTAAGTGGAGGCTTATCCCAGGGCATACTTTATCCTAATTGCCTCCTGTGTCTGATTCCCTATAAGCTGCTTTCTGTCCCCAATTACTCCATTATCACCCTCACTTCTATTTCTCCCTCCTTTCAAACCCTAATAGCAGGAACCTCTCCCAGAACCAGGCAACCAAATGGGTCCACAGTCACCTTAGGAGAAGCACAATTTTCCATAATGTAAGAGCTCTCTGAAAACCTGTGAATAAACAAATTTTTAAAGACCTGCAGTAGTGTATCCACCAGAAAACACGGTAACTGAGAGGACTCTTTATGAAGAGGACATATTAGACATTTTAAATGGTCCCATCTGATCCCTGTTAATCAACAAATTTAGAAATGTATTGTCAACCCCAAGCATTTATGAGACAGATGTAAACAACAATAATAAGTAATAAATATCAGCTTATTTTTACTTGCCTAATAGTGTTTGATTCTCCAGTATTCATACTTGCAAATGAGTCCTTCATTTCTTACAATGGTTCCCCATATAAACCAAAATGGAAAATTCCATTTCATTTTTGCTGCTGTAGCCCCCTGATCTCAGAAGTAGAAAGAGCAGACTTTCAAAGAAAGGGCAAACCCTGCATATCATCTGTAATAATATTATGAGAGCTATTAGCCTCCTCTTGTTGAACTTGGCTAACACTTAATATAGTAATGCTAATCTCAGATATTAAGGTATTATGCATGGAAAAAATAAAAAACCTATTTTTATTGCAGACATTACATTCTTTCCTTATATTACCACTTCAACCCATTTTTCTTCTTTTTTTTTTTTTTTTTTAGGAATTATACTCTCAATCCTATGATGCTGTTGGTGTGATGTTTGCTTCTATTCCTGGATTTGCTGACTTTTATTCCCAGACCGAGATGAATAACCAAGGAGTAGAATGTCTGCGCTTGCTGAATGAAATCATTGCAGACTTTGATGAGGTAATACCAGCTACTAGAAAAAAAATGTTGATTTTTGCTTAAATGATGATTTCCCAAATATCAAATATGTCATCCTAAAATATTAAATTTAGTAACAATTCTGCTTCCAATAACTGCCTGATTCTTTACTCCAATTACGATTGTCTACTTTGCTTTTTTGCTCTTAGTCTTTTCAAATTTTTGTCTGAATGACCCAGTAAGTTAGAAACTGAAATCAATATCTACTTGAGTATAAACATGTATAAATAAAAGCACAATCTTCTCCAGTGTATGTAGAAACAGAACATGCCTCACTTCTGTAGAAGAAAGAAGGATGAAGATATTTGCAACAGTTTTAGTGGTCTAAATCCAAACAGATAGGTATTGTTTTGAAGACATTGGTTGAAAGGACTCAATGAACGTTAAAGGTAAAACAAGTTAGATGTGAAGCACACAGCTCATAAGAAAACACTGGGTATAGAATGAAAGGTGGTGACATATTAACTGAGGAGACCTGTCTGGTCAGGTGTGTTATAGAGAGGTAAATGAAGTAAAGATGCTTGCTTTACTAAGGAATTCAGAGGTAAAGGGAAATTTAAAAAAATAATAATAAATGGAAAGGACATAGAAAGAAAAAATAATTTATTTAGGTATCCTGTGCAGTCAGTTTCAAAAAGGGAGCTGAGGAGAAGATGAGATATACAGGAGAAGTCAATGTAGCTGTTGCCAGGCGGAAGTATGGAAGAATTGGAAAGGGAAGAGGAAGTCAGGAGCAAGTTGCATACATGGTCTTGCATAATCTGCCAACAAGTTAGTAAGGAAGTTTAGACAGGTGGTGTCATGTGCTGCAATGAGCCCCAGAGGATTTAAGGGCACAAAGGACAGACCAACAATGAACTTCGAAAATAATTTTGAAACCAGAAAAGTTGCAATAGTAAGGCCATAATTGCCTAGCATGGGGAATTTGAACCTATACACAGTGAGCTGTTTTCAAGGGTGTGTAGCCCTCCTGAGCTTCCCAAGTGATAGAAACAAAATCTGACCCATCTCTATACTTAACAGTGAGACTGGATCTGTATACCGACTGGAATAGTCGAGATGGAAAAGGGGAGGGGATAGGTGGTGGTGATATAATTGGTCTTTGATTTTGCTTTTGAAGAAGTTATTTAAAGAGAAAGAGGGAAAATCAGATCCTTTTCAGTATTCTGCTGGGCAAGGCAAGACTAGGACTAAATTGGACAACAGGGGAGAGGAGACATGGATACCAAGCAACAGTTGAGAAACAGTAAAAAATCCTACCCAAGAAACCCATGATCTGTGTAATCTCTGTTTATCCCACAGAACATTTTAATTCATTTCTCTCATGTGGTAAAGTATCAGCTGGAGAAGTGATGAGTGTCTTGTCAGTTTGAAATTAAGATGCAGTTCAAGTAAACAGAAGGGAGTAGTTTGTTCCTTCAAAAGAAGCTGGGTCTGGATCTCGCATCCCACACGAGCTATGTAACCATGGAGCAATTGCCTAAAACAGAGAAGGGAAGAACTCCTCTAATGTTGTGGCTTGAAAAAAAAAGATAACATATTTTACCACTCTGGCTCTTAACTCAAAAGGTTTTATCAGAGATTGAGTTTTTGGGAGAAGACAAGAAGGCATACTTAGTCTTTACGTCTGGACTGGGATTCTGCTCATAGATTAAGCATACAAAAAACTTATTCCCAGAAAATTAAAGCATTGACAGATTTCACACCTCTCAAGGTTTCAAAATACAGCTGAATGAAGATTTGAGAACCAGTGTCTCTTTTTTTAAAATTTATTTAGTTCTACCTCAGTCCTACTTTAAACACCTATCCCTCTTTGAGGATCTAGTCTAGAGTTTTTAGTTTGTTTGGGGGTTTTTGCTTTGATGAACAGTTATCTCCAAAGGCTCCAGCATAAGGTACTGAAGGAAAAGATAAAAGTGGAAGGCATACAACTGAGAAAAAGAGATTAGGGGAAAAAAAGTTATCTTTATTTTTATTATTATTATTATTTCATCCTGAGCAGCAACTACCTACAGCTTCTCACAAGTTTTGAGGGATTTCTTTTCAATTTGCTCCTATGGTAAAAGTTATGTTATCTTCATTTCATAAGTGGATAACAAATGCACCATGGGACAATTGACCTTCCTGCATTTTTTTGTAAACAAAGATACCTGTGTCCACACCAGAAGCTAGAATCTAAATATGAACCTAGGCCAGGGTCTTACCTGCACCTTCATCCATATTCATCCTGGGCCTCTGCATGGGGAATGTTCATACAGTGGTAACTCATAAAAACTGGGCCAGGGTTGAGATTACTGAATTGTGAGAGACAATGAAATTGTGAGTTTATCCATATGATCGGTCAGATACTAAAATTACTAGTGGGAAACAGAAAAATTCCTGTGGAATTTTTCCTGTGGATGCATCCCTGTGCATTTTAGTAAAAAACAAAACCACCCTGCTATGGGAAGAGCTCTGTCACCTGCTAAGGTCCTGCACTGTTTTCCCTATGGTATAAATACCTGCTTCTTGTCTCGGAGATCTTGCACAGCTGTCAGCACACTCCTTGACTAATAGTTTTGGTTTTCTTTCCAGATCTGATTAAAATTATTATGGCTCAAACTTAATGCAAAGCCTATTGTTATGAATCAATTTAAGATATTTTGTCATGCACGTTCACATAATCTTCACAATAAAATTCCATTGCTGCCATGGTGATTACTGAAGACAAGGTTTTCATCAAAAGCCCTAACACAATATTACACTTAGGCCCCTAACACCTGCTCTGTAATTAATAAAGGACCTAATTAGGGACTGAACTATGTCCCAGACATGTTTAGTTGAATAATAGATATGTTCTTGGTACGGGTAGTAAATGAAATTATGTGACGCCCTGCTGACTGCTAACCTAGTTGTAGTACGGTCATGCCATTAATTTATTCCCTCTAAGCGATGTAAGAGGTGATAGGCCAGACCGAACAATGAAATTCAGTAATCCTACTCATGGATAAGGAACCAGAAGGTATTTCAGGTACAGTGTTTCAGGGCCAGTAATGTTCCCATGTAAGTGTTGCCTAACGCTACATGATGTCACTATACCTTGTTTTTCATGATGCTTATTGCCAAATTTTTCTGCTATCTGAATACAGCCCTGGAAGCAAAATGCAGATGTGCAGCTTGAGAGCAGAGGAGATCTGTTAGCCATGGGAAAACCGCTCCTCAGCATCACCTGAACACTTCTGTAGTGACACCCAGATGTAGAAACCTTAGCACAGGATTGTAAGACATGGTGCAATTTGAGATATCCTAGGTGATTTGCACCAATCACATGGGATTCCCAGGTCCCATACTGCACTGTCAGAAAACTCATGCTCTTCTGGAGCTAGACAATGGAGGTTTTTCAGGGAAGCATGTTTTAGATGACACTAGAGATCTGTGTTTAGACAACTGAATTGAGTTCCTAATCTCAAATCAAATTCTGCTCTGTGAGTCCCCTCCTTTCCTCACAGAGGTAATAGTAGTAGGGATGCTGTGTCCATAGGCCCAGGAAGATGTGTCTGAATGAAAGAAGTGGTAAAAATACAAATTGACCTGGTTTGGAAAATGTGATGAGTGCACAGGAGGGAGATGTGGGTTGTTATTTTTCTTCTTTTTAGATGAGCTTCCCGCTTACTACAAAACAGAAGGCTTACAATCCAGATCTGTTATTTTGTTTACCAGGGAGTGGATCTATGTTAGGGAGTCAAAGACAGTTGAACAAAATATAGTGAATGGTGAAACAGAACCTGCCACCAAAAACTGCACAGGGTAGGAACCCACAGAGGAGTCGGGTTGTGACTGGGTCTTTCTTAGGGAGATGGAGGAACCTTGTCCAAAAGTCAGTCAGCAGGTGATTGACTCTTTGCAAAAGAGAGCCTTTACTGAGGATTCTGGTTTCCCTGATAGCTCAAATATCTGTTGATTTCCAAATGATCCAGGCTTACTGTTGACTGAGGCAGAAAGGGAGATGTTGGTTTCTGCACTGACAAAAGATTATTATTTCTATTTGACATACAGCATTATTAGAGAATATAGTTATATATAATTCCCTATTCTGCACCCAAGCACAGAGGTGCTGACAGGAAGAGTTCATACATCAAAAAAGAAACATGAACTCTGAATATCTATTTTCATAACTATGCATTTTATATGACTGTAGTCTTAAGACACATACAGGGCTGAACTCCCATTCTTAGAGATGTTGCACCAAAAATAATATTGGAGCATTTCTCCTCAAGATTATGAGTCTTGAAGGATTTTTTTTTTAATTGTAATATTCTTTCTAACATTTTTAATCTATCATTTATCCATCTTAGTGATGTTGTAGTTGGGATTTGTGCTTTAATAAGAACTTTCTAGTTCATGGGAATTTTTCCCTCCATTTTCTTTATCCTGCAGTGATTTACATGGTGTTTACAACAACAGATTTTAAAATATTATGTTGCCACAAATAGAGGTTTTGGCAGAATGCAGGATATTGCGTTCAGACTTTACTGATTACTTTGCAATTGTGTGCCATGTCCTGGAACATTCTCTTTTGTACTGGTTGGTACATGTTTCATTGCATGTGGATATCCCAGGGTCTGACCTCCATATAACCTTGGCTGTAAATGAATTGTGGCATCAAGCCATTAGTTCCTTTTCAGATTCCAACCACATTCTAGGCTTTGAAAATGTTCCCCGGACTATCTTGTTAAATTAGCAAGCCTGTTTAAAATGTTGTAAAAAATAGCAGCTGATTTAAGGCTGAGTTGGAATAACTTTCCCCAGTATCAAAATCCATCATCCTGTCATACTGTGAAGAAAGTAATTGGTAAATAAACCATTATTTGAAGAAAGAAAGAGGCTATATAACAGACAGGATAAAGCAGGGGAAAAATAGAGATTTGGAAACAATAATGAATGACAAGAAAAAAGATAACTTGAGAATATTTCTTCTAAATTGCCTTACAGCCAATAGGTCCTTTCTTTCTTAAAGAGAGTCATTTTAGATATTTATCCTACATTTTAAATTACTGTGCTGTTTGCTGTTGCTTCCAGCAACCATCTGGAAATGAAAATATAGGCTGTTTTTAACCAAGACCATTTTCTCCCTTTGCCCACACACCTGGTGCTCTCAGACTGCTCACAAAAGCAGAGCTACAAGAAATGATCTTTTTCTTTAGGAGAGCAGTTGGAAGAGCTGCCCTTGTAGGAGGGAAACGTAGATAATGGGCTTTTCTGGCAGTTTGAAGAAAAATAAGAAACAGGTCAAGTTTTTGGACTTTCCTGACTTGGAAAGGAGCCATTAACCATATGGCTTTGTATTCCCTGTGCGCAATGCTGTGCAGCCTCCCATTAGAGACAGATGGTGCTGTATCTGTGCACGACCAGCAAAGCCTCCAAGACCCCGGCGCTCCGGCTGACGTACGCTGTGGTTAGTTCAACTGCAAGGGATATTTCATGTTATCCCTTTGGTATGTTTCTCCCTTTGAATTAAATAATCCCTTTAGGTTTTAATTGACAGGAAACTCAAACCCACAAGATGGAAAAAGAATGCACGACAGTGTATAAAAAAAGGGGGAAATGCTTCATTAAATTTTTGCCTGACCACAGCAAGATTTTTTCATTTAAATCACAACTAAGCTGGCCTTTAGAAATGAAAGTTTGAAATTCTTTTTCTCTGTGAACTGTTTTATTTTCTTCTAGGACTGCCTACACAATTCATACCTAAATTTATTAGATACCTTACTGCTTACCATGAAGTTTCCTGGGGTATTCTGTTATTAACACCAGCAATACACATTTTTAAAGCCTGTGATGAGGTGATATGTGCCCATATCCCACATAAAGCTCTATTGTCATTGATAGAGTTCAGAACCTGAATCTCTGCTTAGATCTCTCAAGGAATTAAGGCTTTGGCTTTTATTTCATGGCAAGTTCTAAGGCAAACCATATATATGGTTTACATATGAAATAGGGACCAAACTGTCACTCCCACTCCACTCAGTGCTTCAGTCACTGGACTAAATTTATTCTTCCTCTTGTAGATTCTCAAGTTGACAAGTTTTTTATGCCTACTTTGCACCCATAGCTAACCCAAATAGGTGTATGTGTTTACCACTTCCCATTTGTTGCCTGTATTTTTTGTAGAAGGGGAAAATAACATAAGAGCAGACCAAATGACCCAAGGGACATACCAGTGTTAGGTCTGACAGTGAGTAGAGGGAAGCATGGGATACACGAGGACTTGATCTCTCACAGAAGTTCTTTGGAGGCATCTACCTCCAATTATTGACTGGGTAAGATGGTTAAAACTGTTATTTTAAGAGGACTGAATTCCCTTTAACACTTGTCTCATCATGTGAATTGCTGCTGTAGCAGCACTTTATTTGCAGACTGAGTTCCTCCAAAAGAGATTTAAGAACACTTTTAAATGATCAAGTCTTCTTGTAGCTACACATACATAGCAGAGAGAGTTTGTCTTCACTAACTCTCAGTGATTATACCTCTGGAAATGCAGGACCTATCTGCATTTAAGTTAGATTGGAATATGCATGGGTTTTTATTAACCATTATGGGATTTACCAATCAGCTTTACAGAGCACAGCAGAGCGTAGCTTGAATGCACTCTGTGAGCAGATGATGTTGCAAGGAGCCCCAGCTCAGTGTGCCCCAGAATCCAGAATGAACAGTGCACCGTGACCAACTGGAGCAGGTCATGACCTAGTGTCACGACTCATTTCGGTATCTGTAGAAGCATTTTGCATTATGTTACAGGAATAATGGTGGGTTTTTTACATATGTATTAGTTACTAGGTGAAGAGAGATTTCAAGATATTGAAAAAATTAAAACGATTGGCAGTACATACATGGCCGTGTCAGGATTATCACCTGAAAAACAGGTAAGAGAATAATTTTCCTTAAGAAGCAAAGCTTTTGGTATGTCCTAACATTCATATTAGAGAATATTAATGTTATCTTTATGATATTCATAAAGCTGTGCTTGCTAAAAGAAAACAGACATTTGGGGCTTCTGGCAGACAACAGTTGCACTTCCTGATGAATTGAAATGCCATCTTGTGCTCAGAACAAGAACCATATGGATTCTTTCCTCAAATTTAGGTTTATAGGAGAGAAAAAAAGTCTCCTTTCAATCACACTGATGTGAATCTAGAGCAGGTCTATCTATATCTTCAGACATACTTCAAAGTTAACACTGTAACTCAGCCTGGGATCCGGCTGACAATCTCCAATAACCTATGAAGAGAGATCTATTAACTGACAGCATACTTATGCAAGTGTGAGGTTGCATTTACACATTTTTGTGATTATGTAGCTGTGTACCTACAGTCAGCTCAATACACTATAAGTCAGAAAGAAAGCAGACCCATTGGTTCAACTGAAGAACATCACGAAGCCACGCTCCCCTCACTTGCAGAGATGCAAACCAAGCTGAGGGAAAAATCAGCCACAGAGGACACATGCACAACCACAGCCATGAACCTCAGACAAGTCAGATAAGAGAAATCCATTCATAATTACACCCAAGAACATGCCTGGAAACAGGGTCTCCAAAGGAATGAGAGGCTCTAATACACATCCTGGAAAAAGTTGGCTGTTGCTGAAATCTGTCTTCTTTGGCAAGCAGTGCCTCTCCCCAAGGAAGAGCACCACAAAAAATGGTGTGCTGCCCCAGATCAGCCACACAGTGGGAATCAGATCTGCCCACATCGACAGCAACAGCCAGAAAAGCAAAAACCAGATTAGCATGAGCTTTATAAACTAGAAAATTTCCATTGTTTGTTTAGAATTCATTATAAAACATTTGGAGTGTAACTAGCTGAGCAGCTCCCACCTACAGAGTAACAAGTGATGCTGACAGATAGAAATCCACAAAACTAGGCATGCATGAGATTTTTGTTTGTTCCAAATGCTTCTGTGCAGAGATGAGCAAAGAAGGGCTGAACATCAGGGAGGAAGCTGGTTATAGCTACACAGGTTCTAACCACTCCCTTTGACTCTTGATGTGGGTAAAAATTCAAAGGGGGAAAATCTTTACTGCTTTTCCAAGATTAATGAGGATTAACTCATCCTTTTTCTTGAACTGTAAAATGCTAATTGAATTTTTATGTGTGTTTTAAATATACTTACCTTCACACATGCATGTCTGTCACCTTGTCAGCGTCTAAGAGGTGAAGGCTGTGGAGAGAGGCTGGCAGGCTGTGAATTGGAGGAGACTAAGGACAAGGACTGAGCACAGTGTAAAAAGAACAGGGTGATGTCAGGGAGATGCTTATTTTCAGTATTAAACATGGAGGATGATTAAAATTGTATAGGGCTGGCCTACGTGGTCCAGTGGGGAGCTTGTGATGCTTCACTTCTGATGAAAGAAAGTCTTCAGAATAAGTAAGATGATCTCGTACCTCTTGCAGACCAAAACCACCCCTGTTCCTTACTCCACTGCCTGCTCAGAGAAACAATGAGTTCCCTATCCTCCCTTGAGAGTCCCTGTCCCCATCAGCTGACCTGTTAGTATTCTGGGAAGACTAAAACCTCCTCCTGGTCCCCATCTGTGTATCAGCTGCCCTGTAGGAATGGAAATGGAGGGGAAGGAGCAGGGAGTGACTTGACTGCTCTAAGCAGAGGATATTAATGAGCTACAGAACAGCTTTTTCTATCCCACTTTACTGGTCCCAGGTTGCCTGGCTTGCCCTTCCAAGGTCCCTTCCAACCCAAGCTATTCTATGATTCTATGTTGTCCCTGTCACTATTCCATCCCTGAGACCACTGGAATTGGTGCTTTTCCTGGGTGACAGTTTCAGCAAATGAGAATTACATCTTTCACTTCCTTTGGTCTACTTTCTACTTGCTTACATGGGTCATCCCTTGTTCTCACTAGATTTGTCCCTTTCAACTGAGCTATCTCAATCCTCTTTGTACTTCTCAGCCTCAGATAGATTGCACATGCCTTACTAATTCCCATTATTGCCTGTCAGATTATTGGCAGGAAATCACTTTCTTTGGTACTTCACACTAAAATTCTCTGTATCAAGGTATAAAAGTGTTGTAATAGAAATGGGAAGCATTACCATTAATAATACCCTACCTCTCCTGGATGCAGTATGTTGAGACTGTTCTTACAAATTCCAAATTTAGATACTTGGCACTTGGTAGGGATGGACGGGAGCTGGGCAAATGTAAAACTTTTCTAACATATTCGTTTATAACTTACTCCTCAGCAATGTGAAGACAAATGGGGGCATTTATGTGCCCTGGCTGACTTCTCCATAGCTCTGAATGAAAGCATACAGGAGATCAACAAGCATTCATTTAACAACTTTGAACTCCGTATTGGTAAGTATAGCTCAAACATAAGAATTAAAATGGGGTTTTGTCTACAAGGATTCAACTCTGTAAGTGCACCTCAGAAGCACTGCAAGGACATGGACAATTTAAGAGACTTCAAATACTATATCCTCTGTTTTCAAATTGACTTCATCCCAGGCAAAGTTAGAAATAAGAAATTCTCTGTTTGCAGAATATGAGCCCTAATTCGGGGACTGCAGGAGTTCTAAGTTTTAGTGTATTGTGAATGAGTAGCATAATTAAGCTACTGTCTGACTTTAGCAAGTCTGGCAAAGACCCCATAGATATGACAAAAAGTGAACTGGGCAGCCCAGACCTTACCCCTAGCTTGATACTGGCTTGCACAGTCTCTAATTAATCTCCCTGTCTTAGACTGTTTTTCAGTAAAGGTGTAATAGTAACCTATCCAAAAGCCAACGTGTAGTACCTTGGTTTTGCACAAAAATTGAATTCCAGTTCTGAATTACCAGTGGCAACATTTCTGAATTGCTATCATGGGGAATTTATTATCCTGGATGGGATATCCTGCATGGCTAGTAGGACAGGACATGAAAAGAATGTCTGAATAACACATAACAAGAATAAATCTGATGGTTTCTTGTGTTGACTGTATCACTGGCCAAAACCAAAAACCACCTGGAAGAAACATGTCATTTACAGATAATCCCACCATAAAAATGCTGAAGTATATTTATCAGACACAGCATGGAAGGTCACAGTATCACTATCTGTGGTCTGTACTTCCTGACAGTTTTGAACAGAAAACTCTCAATTCCCAAGGTTTCTCAGGGAACATGCATCCACACCTAGTAATTAAGAATCACTTGCAAAGATTTCATAGAGCATGAATGCAACAGTATTTGGAAATCATTTCTATCACCACTTAAAAAAAATATTATCAAAACAAAAAAATCTAAAAAAATAAGATCCTTTCCTCAAATATGTGCCTTTCACTATCACTAAATATAGTCTTAAATTACAGCTGTAGAAAAAAAAAGTTTCTTCTCTATTATTGCTTCTCTTGAATCTATGCAATGATCTTAACAATCAATCTTTCAATAACTTCATAGAATACTTTAATATTTTCACTTAATGGAACATAAGAATGTAATTTTTTGACTGTCTAGCACTAAAAAGATTGCCTTCAACAAGTGTAGATCAAGAAAGATCCTTCCAGAGAGATCTTTCCTACTACCTATGAATCAGTTTGCAGGACTTTTGACAATAGTGTGCAGAATACAGGTGATACAGAAGTACCATGGTTCCACTGAGATGGTCATCCTCTAAAATAACTCTGTGGGTATCACTTTTCATGTTTTCTAGCTTTTCTGGCTTTTTTTTCTTACTTTCTTTGTATATAAACCTCTTCCTTAAGCTTAGAGATAAATTATTCTGAACCAGTGAACCAGGGTTTATCTGTTTCTTAATTGTAAATATGGGTTTCAGCCATTCTTGTCTAACTGGCTGTCTTCTTTTTTTCTTTAAATAGGGATTAGCCATGGCTCTGTTGTAGCGGGAGTTATCGGTGCTAAGAAACCCCAGTATGATATCTGGGGCAAAACGGTTAATTTAGCAAGTCGAATGGACAGCACAGGTGTTAGTGACAGAATACAAGTGCCTGAAGAAACGTATCTGATCCTGAAGGACCGGGGATTTGCCTTCGACTACCGAGGAGAGATTTATGTCAAAGGTATCAGTGAACAGGAAGGAAAAATCAAAACATATTTTCTTCTAGGAAGAGTTCAACCAAATCCTTTAATCTTACAACCAAGAAAACTGACTGGACAGTATTCATTAGCAGCTGTTGTATTAGGACTTGTGCAGTCTCTTAACAGGCAAAAACAGAAGCAAATCCTTAATGAGAACAACAACTCTGGAATCATAAAAGGACATTATAACCGGAGGACATTGCTCACTCCCGGTGGATCTGAGGCAGCAGCCCAGGCAGAGGGGGCTGACAAAACTGAATTGCCATAATCAGCATTTTGTTTGTGTTCTTTTTTTTGTATTTCTTTTATATATAAAAAATAAATATACAAATAAAAAGGGTTTAATTTTTTTTACAAGAAGTGTGATTATTTTATAGTGTGATATTTCAATGAAATTCACATTCCTACATTTTAACAAAGGGAGCCAACACCACTCCCCCTAGCTGAGATTAGCCTCTGGATGTCCAGAGCTACAGTAGCTTTAGACCATCACTCTGCTGTGCCAGCTACTTCCAGAAAGGGGAAAGAATAAACCTCTGGAGGGATTCGGAACATAAATTGTGTAGGGAGTTAAGGATGGGAAAGGGAGGAAATACTACCTGAAATTTTTGGGTGAAAGCAAAGACATAAGGATATTGAGTAGGTTCTTCTCACCCTAGTTGCCTTCAGGTAGACTTATACAGATCTAAGCCAGCTTCCTGGTCCCTGTAACAGCCAGGGAAAAGCTAGTCAATACAATTAAAGGATTTTAAGGTGTGCTATGTGTTCAGATGTGAGGATCTGGTAGATAGAAGAGGTGCATCTTGCCCTGAACCACTGATTCCATTGATTCCACTGGCTGTGGGCTCTTAAAATAGCCTCAGGTGTCCTCCTCACAAGCAGGTGACTGCACTGTAGACAGATAAACTGGATGATAAAATGTACCTGTCCTCTTGGGCCCAAGCCAGGAGGTCAAGGCTCTCCTGTAGGCCCTTTGTCATGTCTGTCAGTCCCATTTGGAGGGCTCAAATGCACTATGGTATATTGATTGGCACAACACCTATGAACGGGTGACAGAATTACACCTTAAATGAGATGTCTGGAACCTACAGCTGAGCCTGTTGTCCAGTCAAGGAACTAATCAACTTCTCTAGTCTTAACTCCACCACCAATCTGACTTCTCACCAAAACAAGGGTTGTCTGAGTACATGCTGAATTACAGTTGTGGATACCCCATCCCTGGCTGTCTTCAAGGCCAGGCTGGATGAAGCTTTGAGCAACCTGGTCTAGTGGAAGGTGTCCCTGCCCATGGCAGGGGAGTTGGAACTAGATGATCTTTACGGTCCCTTCCAACCCAAACCATTCTATGATTCTATGATAAGTCTCACTGCTAAAATACTGCTCAGTTGCCTTAAGAGGAAGAGAGGCCAAGACTGAGGATACCCCACATTATTTGTGTGCCAGCACAGAAACAGTCCTGCTGGGATGCTACAAGGACACACCTAGGTGTTACAATCCCTGCATCAAAAGGTGGATAACTTTTTGGGGAGCCACTACTAACTAATTTCACCTTGGAAACAGTAAAGATATAGCACAGGTTCCTACATGCATTGGTGCCATGATTCATACTAAGCTGTAACATGCACAAATGAACTTCTCATCAAGTCTGTATGCCCAAAGGAGCTGGGTTTGCCTCTGTAAATGTTATCTTTAAAGCAAATCACAGATGGAAGCAGCAGAACCTGTAATCACACAGTAATCCCCACACAACCAATACAAGGCAACATATGGATTCTTTCTAAATAGAGGCCTTGCTTTTTGCAGACTTACACAGTCCATAAGGAAAACTGAGGTTTCTTGGGAGCATCACCTGTGGATCAAGCACATTTTAAAAAGACGGAAAATATGGCTAGGAAATGTTCATTCCTACATTTTATAAGACACTACTCTTTACTAACAAAAGAAACACCAAAACATGAAGGTGTTTCATTATAGTAAGATAAAAATAATGCTTTTCATTGTAAAATAACCTGATGAATAGGTTTATAGGGCAAAATTTAATCAGCTGAATACCACCTTCATAAGTAGAAAATAACAATGACTAAATAAATTCCACAGAAAATTGTATCACTGAACGACGGGTCTGAGCACAGAGAGTAAAGAAATGTTACACCCAGTGATGATGCTGCCAGTAACTGAGGTCTCATTCCAATTTGATTACTCCTTTGAATCCCCACTAATATCTTTTTTATGCTGCACTGAGAAAACTAAGCCCCTCAGCTTACCCAGGCCAGTGCTGCTACTGTAGGAGATGAAGACAAGGAAGGGGTAGCATCTGAAGCAGTTAAATTAATTTCATATTTACAGTTGTGTTTGAGGCACTAAAGAAGGAAGTTTGGGCAGCTTAAACAGCTCATTAACAGCTGTCCTCTCCACAGCTTATTTCTGTGTTGGATAAGTTCACTTCTGGTTCTCTAAACATTTAATTCTTGCTAATATCCCAGCTGAACTGGTTTTCTAATTCTCACCACTGCTGCCAACCTCTGTAATGACAATTAACAATGAGTGGAAGGTGTTAACTAGATAACAAGATTGGGAACTGGATCTATGAGGGCAACTTCATTGCTCCTTAGCACAGGCCAAAATCTTCTGCTTATCATAGATGAGGATAGCTTTCTGTGTTATCCCTCTCAAAATCTCAATTAGCATAGCTATGTTTCCCAGCAAAATTGTCTGCTAATGAAGTCTGCGTCTGTGTTGACCCAAGAAAGAGTTCCCTAAATCAGCTCATTGCTATGAATAATTCTTTAGTGAGGAATTTCACCTGTGACTGCCAGAGGTAAATCCCTTCTTGGGACTACTTGTCACCCCAGCAATTACACTGCTTGTTCCTTTTCCAAATGTGCTGACCTTAAAGGTTCAGCAACGTTATTTCTTATTATAACATCTGTTTTCAGTGGAACAGCAGCTATTACTTATGCTTTCAGTCTTTTAGTTTTACTCCATAACATTATGGTACCATTACAGTATTCCACTTCCCATCACAAAGCTTCAGTTTCTTGTTCATACAGGATAGAAATGCTCCCACAAGAAGGACCTATAAAGCCATAACACCCAGTTAACATCATTTGAAACATACGTGCCAGGGTTAATAAAGGTAAATTCCCTTGATATTGTACCTCTTTGGCCAAATCACCTAGCCAGTATTGAGAGCTGTCCTAGATTTCCCCCATTAAGAGGAGAAAGCATTGGCAGAAACTGATTGTATCTTTGATGTCACCTTATTTATTTCTACAAATGTGCACAACAGAAACAAACAGCAGCCAGCTGCTTGCTCAGACATTTGTACCTCCATCCCTCCAACAAGCTCCATGCCATAAGCTCTGCTGACTTAAATGTTTTCTAAACAAACGTGCTGAAATCCACAGCTTTCTTCTCAGAAAAGTAACATACAATCAACTACATCAAGGGCAGTTCATGCCAGCTTTGAAGTACTCATTCTTAATCATTAAAGCAGATGGAATATTGACTGTCTGGGCAATAGTTCTGTACCAAAATAATAACTCTGTAGTGCTCCAAGAGTGTATTTGCAACCCTCACTCCTATGTTCTAGCAAAGATCGTATCTATGGCAAGAGTGCTTGTCTGCAGGACAGGGAAAAGTTTTAGTGTTGATTAATTTATGCCATTTACCAATTTTAGTAATACCTATACAGAAAGTCACAGTTAGGTAGTGATACCTGTCCAGATATCTACTCTTGGCTCACTTAAGATGTTTACCTCTACTGAGAGCAGTTTGATCGGTGTGTTACCATTTAGATGTGTACACTGACCAACAGAAAAAACAGCTCAAAAAATAGCCTTTGCATTCAGGGGAAAAATATCACTCACTGTCCTCAGCTTTAATTCATTCCTGATTACTTCACAGTCGTTTGCACATTTTGAAAAGCGCAGCAAAAAAAATACCAGCTAATCCTTTTCTCATTAGCAGAAGAACTTCAGCTGCCTTTCCTAAGTGCAATGGGAGTCAAGGAGTTTATACAAACAGACAGCACAGCAAAGGTGGCTAATCGCCAAACGTCCTGTCGCTGTCCACTGCCAACCTGCAGCACAGGGAGCGGAGAGCCCGGCTCCAGACCTGACTTGATGAACACACAGGGAAATGATCAGAGGAGAGGGAAATAACATTAACCATCAACGGTGGTACATGGTAAGCATTGTAATTGCACAGTCAACTTATTAACCTCCCCATCAATCTTTTTCTGTTGCTCAACGACAGTGACACAATTAAGCGTCTGTGGTTTCCTCAGCGCTGCGCTTTGCTAGAGGAGAGGAAAAAATATGACAGCAGAGCAGTCAGCAGATGGGAGGGAAGGGGTAAGAATTCAATATCCATATCTCTAGGCACTTGAAACCTACTGCAGTTCAGTTAGTATTTAAGGAATGTTCTTATTAGCTCTTCTGGTAGAACAAAGTTTTTCCTTGGTTTACATAACTTCAGTAGATAAGGCCTATTTTTTTCCAAAAAATATTCTTCTCTGCCCATTTTCCACTAAGTTCTTTTTTAGGTGATGGCTGTCAGAGTTACAGAGCCATCCAGAGACAGATTCATTCAGCTCTTTCATGTGAAAATGACAGCAATGTACAGGGCTGGTTAGACACCACCTTCTGTAAAATGCCACTCATGGTACTTCTCCTGACCCAGATCTCCTTCAGCCCAAGGTGTTTTTTTCTGGCCGGTAAATATGTTACTATTGATACATTGAACATATCTCTGTTTCATAATCCATATATCTTTTGAGGGTCTTGAAATAAGTGCCTCCTTCAGCTTTGCAATATTTAAAGAAACAAAAAGCACCACTGTTGCCACATGGAGAAAAAGAAGAAGAAATCTCAGCTGGTTTGCTGAAAATCTGAAGTTCTAAAACAAATGGCATATGTGTGAAATGACTTTTGATTACAAAACCATTCCAGGCAGCATTGACATGGGATGATACGCCAAGTGCAGCTTTCACAGCAACAGGATATAAAGTATCATTTTAATTAACCCATTAGTTACTTAAAATAATACAACTGCAGCCTCTTCCTACTCATCTTCCCTCACAGAAACTATTGTGACAATCTGTCATTTTTCTAAGTTTCTATAAATCACCAAGTAATTTTGCTTCAGATGAGTGATTGTCTCCTCTGGATGTGCCCAGATCGATGCCATAAAGCTAAGACCAGGAGTCAGGAGTCACACCCCTGTCTCTGGGGTCAATGCTCTTTGTATGGGTAAGACCAAGGCTCCCAGTGGGACCAGCTCCTTCCCCATGGTCCTGTTCCTGGGAAAGGAAAGACCAGGGGCTTGGGCAGGCTTGGAGCTGTAGCCTAACA